CTATAAAGTCCTTTTCAGACTCACGAAACACATGCAATGATGCCGAATGTAGGAAGATCACAGGCCAGTGGGTGGGAAGTCTTGTGGATCCAGTGGTGGTGTAAGCATCTCAGTGCCGGCAGGGGTCTCCAGGTGCCTTATCCAGCTCCCAGTGCTCTGGTTGCTTCAGGGTAGGTCCATGTGGCTTCTCCTCAGGGATGTCTCGCAGGGAATGAGGAGAGAGAGAGCGTCCCCGGCCTCCAAGAAGGAAATACAGGAGTTCCCAGAATCCTCGGGAGAAGACCGTGCCACACAGAGGCCTCATTGGCTATCACCTGATTGACAGGCTAAACTCTACCTCTTCACTTGTGAGTCCTCTCCAATTGGAAAACAGATTATATAACTATCACACATGGCAGCTAGGAAGCTCTGATAAGGTTTGAGTAAAGGAACTTGTGAGAGATGTGATGGTAGAAGCCACAGTGTAAGTAGTTAAGGAAAGACTGATTTGTGGGAAAATGGAGAGAGGGTGTGAGGTTTGTATTTCCAGAGGACTGAGAATGAAGGAAAGGACAAAGAGTCAGTTTGCGGTTTAAAGGAATCAGTAGCATCTGGTTTTATCTTTTGGAATAGGGAGATGATATTTTTGTGGACCTGAGAAGACAACAGTAAAGGGAGGAGCAATAGAAAGTGTAAGGATAAGAGAAGCTATCAAGCTTGGAACTATGTCTTAGAGATTCATGGTGGGGCTCATTGTGGCAGGGCAGAGGGCACTCTTTCTCAAAGAGAAGAATGAAAGGAGAAAGAGGAACAGTGGGGGGGGGAGGGGGGGGAATGATTGTTAAGCCCTTGCTCCGCAGCAGTCCTGACTGCAGCCACCTGCTAGATTGGTATAGATGTGGCTGGTTCAGGAGACCACGAGCCCAAATGGATTTACATGTTTATTGCTCATAATTTAGCAGGCAGCATGAGCTTCACGTTCTCTGCAATTCCCCTGGTCTCTGAAGTCCAAAGCTGACATGGAGGTGGCCCTAGGGGAGTCTGCACACTCAGTGGATCGGTGGCTGAGCCACGGAATCTTGCATGGGGAAACACCCTGTCTTGGGGACAGCATGAAATGCTGCCCAACCTTTGTTCTGGCCGGAAGTGTCTTCTCTGCCAGAAAGCAAGGGTGCTTTGGAAATGGCTGCCAAGACTATGTGCTCTGTAGATCTCCTCCACCATATGGTCTGTGTGCTTTTGCTCAGACGATGTTAGGAAATGCAAGTCTGATAGAGAATGGGGTCTCTAATCTGTATGTGTATGTATATACAATTATTGTTCTCTACTTTCAATATTCTTCAAAGGTGTAGATTCTTTTTTTTTTTTTGGCGTAGATTCTTTTAGAGTCTTCCTTATTCACTGTCCAACTTTCACATGCATATGAGATGATTGAGCATACCATGGTTTGGGTCAGGCACATGTTAGTCCTCAAAGTAATATCCTTGCTTTTCAACACTTCAAAGAAGTTTTGTGCAGCAGATTTACCTAGTGCAATGCATCATTTGATCTCTTGAGTGCTGCTTCCATGAGCATTGATTGTGGGTCCAAGCAAGACAAAATTCTTGACAACTTCAACCTTTCTCCATTTACCATTTTATTACTTTTACCTATTGGCCAATGTTACCTACTGGTCCACTTGTGAGGATTTTGGTTTTCTTTACATTGAGTTGTCATCCATACTGAAGACTGTAATCCTTGATCTTCATCAGTAAGTGTTTCAAGTCCTCCTCACTTTCAGTAAGCACGCCTGTGTCATCTGCATTTCTCAGGTTGTTAATTGTTAATAAGCCTTACTCCAATCATGATGATGCATTCTTCTTTGTATAGTCCAGGTTCTGGTGCCCTGGTTGTTGGGTTTCCTAAAGCCACCACAGCCACTGAATTAGGGAGTTCTGAACAAACGGACTAGGTTGCTACAAGCCCCTGGTGAGAACATGTTCATCAACCCTCCATCCATAACTTGGTCTTATGTGTATTTGTATGTAAAGATATCTTGTCTAATACATTGTTTTGATTTGCCAACGTTGAACTTGTAGGCAGCTCCACTGTTACTCATGCCTGAACAAAGCTTACATGACATGGCCATTTTCTGTAAAGCACATCGTAGTCTCCTTGTCATTCACGACCCCCCAGCCACAACGTCAGCACTGTGCATGAGGCCTTCTTAAAACAGCACGATCTCCAGCAATCATGCACTGACTAGACTGCGAGAAGGACACCTGCTAGCCATATGGAGCTCAAACAAGATGTCAGAGGGTCTTCTAGTTTGACCTCGGCTGGGAACATATGCATTGGGTGACCCCAAATTTTTACTGGTCCTTGTATGTGTACAGATGGCTGAAACAGTCCCATGAATCTTGGCTTTGTGGTTATAAGTCAATATTGATGAATAAGTGAGCCCTGATGATGTAGTGGGCTATATACTGGGCTGCTTACCACAAGGTCAACTGTTCAAACCCATCAGCAGCTCCGCGGAAGAGATGAGGTTTTCTGCCCCTGAAACCTACAGGGGCAGTTCTGTCCAGAGAGGCGCTATGAATTGCGCTCGACTTGATGGCAGTGTGGTTGGTTTAGAGGTTTTCGGAGGTAAATTCTCTCATATAGAGTCTGCGGATAATGAGGCCTGACTGTGTATGTGTGTGTATTCATAAAGCAATGTCAAGTATAGAAGGAGCAGTTGAGGAAGGTTGCCTGGATCAGCTCACCCTTTCATGTGACCGCACAAGCGATTGAGTACATGTGGCAGGACTTGAGCCGTACCCATTATCTTGTCTAGGGCCTAGAAGGAGTACCCTGAAGGCATATCATGGGTGACAGTCTTGGAAGGTGTTACTCCACCGAGACAGGATGTGGACTCCCTAGATCAAGGATGGGGAAAGCTGCCCTGCAGGCCCTGTCCCCTACCAAACTCACCGCCATCGAGTCGACTGACTCAGTGACCCTAGGGGACAGGGTAGAACTGTCCCTGTGAGTTTCTGAGACGGTAACTCTGGTGGGAGTAGAATGCCCCGTCTTTCTCTCACAGAGCATCTGGTGATTTCAAACTGCTGACCTTGCGGTTAGCATCGCCATAATGTGTACCCACTATGCCGCCAAGGCTCCCCGAGGGTCATGTAAGGCCTGAGAAATCATCAGTACAAGCTAAAATCACACACCTCACCAAAGAGAAGCAGTTGCAACCATCACATTAGGGGCTCGTTAATGAAATGGTTGACCAGTGTGGCCCTCGAGTGATGTTATAAAAGGGTCCCTACCTCTCTCTGCCCTCAGCAGTCTCTGCAGAGTGTGTTCAGCCCAATGATCCTATGTTATCGGCTAGACTATTTATAAAGCCCAATTCACAAAACAGATCTCGTGAGTGTATTTTGATAAAATAACACTTAAAAGTGTGGGGGAAAGGAAGAGTTTTGATAAACCGATGCCAGATGTAGCGTTGTGCTAAGTGAGGTTTGGGAATTTTTGTTCTTCTACAGCACACATTTTATTTAGCTAATGCGACTTGCCATCTGGTCATTTAAATCAGGTGTTTACAATGGTTCAGGGCAGCGAGCGCCCCAACGTAGTGTCGTCGGCTCCAAGGATGCTGTTATGGAAAAACCGGTGTGCAGCATGCGTTTGGACATGCAGGAATTGGTTTCGATGCCAGTGGCATGGGCTGGGCTGGCTAGGAGCCGTGTGAATGGTGTGTTAGGTCTCTCGACTGCGGGCTGTGCCTTCAGCTCTTAG